AGCCTCGAACCCAAGCGAACAAAAATATCTACCGAGAATGCAATCCCAGAGTTCAAGCAAACACTTTCCCGCGCAGAAAACATCGACGCAATCCACGACGCTGTGCAGCAAATGGCTAAAATCATTGAGACCCAGATCACGCACAGTCTCGGTCACTCAAACTACGACCGTGTTATCGAGGGTCTCGGTACTATGCGTGAAGAGCTGGTGGATTATGAGGAACCGGTGGTGTACAATGACTTTGTGCGCCAGTTGAAGGCTAAGATGTTGCGGGAGGAGCTGGGTGGGGATCGGAGGGAGCTGTGGTGGTTTGTGAGGAAGGGGAAACTTGGGCTTATTGCGAAGAGTGAGGTGGATAGCTCGGCTGTTGAGGAAGAAGAGGCCCAGGAGGTAAGGCTCGATATCTTGGTGTGGAATGGAACAAGTGCTGACGCTACTTGTAGTTTCTGGCTGCAAATTGAGGAGTTTGGTAGGAGGTTGATTATGGTCTCTGTTAGAACGTATTCATAATGTCTTGTACTCCAAATTTACCTCGTGTAGAGCTTGCGATATATATGGATCTTCATGCTTAACGGTTGAAGCATGGCCGAGGAACTAAGTCAAGTATGGTCCGCCTCATGGGACTCAGTGCAAAGGTACTGACTTTATATGTAAAGGGATACGAGGTAGAAAGACTTTGGGGAGAAGAGAAAATAGTGAACAAGCTCTTGAAACTGTAATTTCGACGCAGAATTGACACACAAAGGAGCAAAACCTGCACACACAACGTGTAACACGAAGTGAAGCGATACCCAATTGCAAGACATGCGACGCTTCTTCAATCAACCACAGAACCAAACGCCTTATACAACATGCCCAATAACCAGTACTCGCTCCAGAAAACAACAACAGACCGAAATGTGCAAGCTCAAACATTAAAAAGCATCCAGATGCATCACGGAAAAGGGGTATGCAGAAGTATTGTCCCAATGGGACGAGAAGAATGGAAGAAGCGCTCTGGAGAAATTTGCAGAGTTCCCAAAGGCGAAATAAGAGAACAAAATGTTTAATGGACAGTCTTGATTGCCCGTGCAGGACTGATGGTATTGCTACCAATACGACCACTAGGCTTGCGAACCCCTCGAGACTCGCTGCGGGTGTTTTCCGTCGCCCGGCGAGGGCTGGTGCGTATTTTACTGACCGAGATAGGGGCAGCGCCGCTCTTACGGCTCATAGGAGTCTTGGGTGCTGAGTGGTCAACCCAGTTTTCCTGATCCTTGTGGTTGTCTTCTGCGAGAGTGTAGCTGGCTGTGACAGTGGCAGAGTAACTGATAGACCGGGATGTGGGTGAGGCAACAGGGGACCTGGATGACCTTTGGGCTAATCGGCGGAGCTGGATCTCTTCTTCACTTTCACTGCCCTCGTTGCTCTTCCTATGGCTGCGGTGACTGCGCTGCTCACTTTCAACGGCGAGGGATCCGGAAGCAGTTCGAGAATAAGGGTGGTGGCGTGAGTCCTTTCGATGGGATTTGCGAGGCTGGCCAGGGGTCGGTGCAGGAAGATCCTGGTCTGGGTAAGCCGCAGCTTCATTGTGATCAATCTCTCCGAGGGCAGCGCGCTTAGAATGGCTGTTGTTTGGTGGGGTGGAGACCACTCCATTGCTGGTGCGCTTCTTCGTCGACACCCGCGGAGTGACGGGTGCAGATTGTGCTAGCTTCTCACGCATGCTATCCTCAAACCACCATTCACGGAAGGCACCTTGGTTGAGGTGGAGCCAGTGCTGCTGAGGTCCAACGACCATACCGGGTCGCATGAATCTCATGAAGGCAATTACTTCATTGGCTGTGAATCCATACTTGTAGATCAGGTAGGCACCAATCAAACATCCGGTACGGCCCAAGCCTGCTTTGCAGTGAACTGCGATACCTTTCTTCTTGATGGTGATCATCTCATGGGCCATTTTGATAAACCGCCTGACAAGCTGCAGGGGAGGGCACGTGCCATCCTCGAAGATCATGTCAACATGAGCAATTCCCATTGCGGTGAAGTAAGACGGGCAGTAGAGCTCTGAATTGAGTCGTACAACCAGACCGATGTTCCGCTGGTGAAAATGAACGAGAACATTCTTGAATGGCGTAGGAAGCTTCGAGGAAGATATTTCCGAGATTGTTGCTGGCAATGCCTTGTACTCGGCGGTGTTGACAGGAATGGGTGCCACGGGCTGCTGCTGAGGAGATGCAAAGGCAAGGAAATCCGGCGTAACCCAGTTGAAGTCACCCATATCGACTCGCTCAAATTTCTCGTACCTAGTAAAGAAAATCAGCCCTTAATCTTCGGCAGTCTACACAGTGCCACTTACTCCTCGAGATTGAAGTCCCGAAGTCCGCAAAGAGACTGCTCCTTGGCCTTCCACACTCCATAAACCACATCCTGAATGTTCAGAATGAAATCTGCCTGGCTGTATCCAGCATCACGGAAAGGCATGTAAGGAGGATCTGCCTGGGCGATGGGTGCCAGAGCCAAGTGAGGTGGCCAGGATTGAATCATGACCATGTAGCATGCAACAAGGCAGGCCGCATTGGCGCGACTCCGGGCATCAGTTTTGCTGTAGAAGACTACTGGGCGATCGCTGTTGGCTGGATCACCAAGAATCTCGTGGAAAAGCACCGCAAAGCGGTAGAGGTGCCCAATGTGGAGTGGACCGAAATCAGCGTGAAAAGCATTGTAAAGAAGAGTGTCATCGATAGTGAAGTACACAGGAGAGCGGCGCTTGCTCGGAGTGGCGGGCTGGGCACGGGCCCTCTTGCTTGGGGATTTGGGTGCGTCCAGGTGGAAGGGAAACGGGGTTCTGGAGCTGGGAGCAGAATCATAGGATGCAAGATATAGGCGGTCTAATTGGTGGTTTGTCTTAGTTCTCAATCCTTGGCGAAAGTCATTGGAATTGTTGAAGAGCATTGTACAGACCTTGGATGTACTCGATCATCTGCCCACTTTGATTGAAGTCGGTAGTCATACTGGGGGTCGTTCGTTGACAGCTGCCTAGACCCGGAGTGATTGTGTAACGCCGATAAACAGCGAAGACAGATCGATAAGTTACTGTAACTGGTCCTGCTTTTGTTCTAGCGTGACTCGGATGATAGCAAAGCCAATGGTAAGAAAATAGTCGCGGCAAAAGTAAGACCTAAACGCTCATGATCCGACTGAGGGAGGGAGATCTATGAGTGTAGAGTGTTAAGGATAATGAGAAAAGAAAGCCTGGATGCGAAGAGTCTGTACAGGTGAGGTGATTAGAAGAGAAGTAAAATCAACACAAAGTCCGAGTTCATGATGTTTGGGGCAGCTGCCATGCCACTGTTATGTTGTGCCTTACCTGTTTGGGCCTAGTGGATGCTGTTGACGTGACAACGGATGTGGCCTCAGGCATTCAGCCGTTTGCCTTCCACATTCCAAAACATCGGCACCACAACAAACAAACTGTATAAACATCACAGACCACACAAACCACACAAATGATACATACAACATCAATATCAACATCAGCACGTACAACATAGTTATACAGAGCTCACATCTCACTCCACTTTCAATTCGCGAACCAGTCTTCAGCTACGAGCCCTATCTCCTGATTGCATATTTCCACTGTGTATACCTTCAGAATACATTGTGCCTTGTGCAACAATTGGTTGGAAGATTGTCTCTATGTTCCTTGTCCAATCGATCGTTTGGCTTCCAATATAAATTGATAAATGAGCTCAAGAAATTGGCACTTAGTTGCTTCTCTGCTTCTTTTCAAACAGCTTCGCCCGGTAAATCACCTTCAAATCACAATATTCACTACTAACCCTATCAAATTTATCCCAATTATCAAGGTGAGAGGCGATGCTCAAGCCGCTGCGCTTCAACAATGCCTCACATGAAGTGACCCTTCTGGTATGTAAAACACAATCAGCACCTCTCAGCTACTTTCTCTTGCACTGAGCCTGCTCAATACAGCGACTTGTTCGCGTTTGCTGCAAGTTAACTTTCCTCAGTCTTGCGTATCACTTCAATAGGCTTGCGGCGATTCAACACACGTCTAGTCATTTGCGATGCTTCCAGGATCACACTGAGCTTCATTGAAAACAAAAACAACATACAACATAGACTGAGTTCGGTTTCGGTGCCTCCACATGTCAGTCAACACCGGGCATGGTGGGTACCCCAATCTCGGCAGAGGCTGGATTTCATGCAGAGTCAATGCAAGGATCTCCGAGGGCAAAGCTGTTTAGTCTTCAAGTTAACATGTTACACTAAGCCAAACTCGAGGTCAGTTCCCTATGTTGTATGAAAGCGGTGATCGACAGACCCTTGAGGTCCCGTACAGCGGCCCTTGCCTAAGGCTACGGCCAGTGCGCTAACATCCATCCCTCGCTTTAATTTCGAGATAATTCCAAACATTTGGCTGGTGTTACTCACATTCTGATGGAGATACAATTGACTTCGTTCGACAGGTTCGAACAGAACATGCTATATCTCCCACGTTGCAATCTTCGCTGTAGGAATCTACGAGATAACCCTACGTATCCTGGAAAGCGAACTAAGCTTCCATTTTGTATTAGCCTGCTAGATACTTGCTCTAACTAAACCGCTTGAAACCTGTCACCTAAAGTAACTCGAGACCATGTGGGCATCTACATCCCTTCTTTCGCGCAATCTCCACTGAGATGAGATTACTTGCGCGGCGTGATGGGTTGCAGCTGTTAGCGCCTTTCGTACAATCTAAGTACCACAAGAGGCAATAACCATCACGGTCAAAACATCGCCCCTGATAACCCAAATGCGAGGGGTCTCTTGATGACCGTGCAGAGCACTGCCAAAATAAACCAGAGAATTGTATTTAGTCCGGCCTTTATATCCAGCGTCTTTGCGTCCTATTTTTTACACAGGTCACTCATTCATTCCCAGTCTCTCTTCTTCTGCCTGTATACTTCTTCATCAAGTCGCTCTTTCCAACACCCCGAGATTTTACAACCGTCGCAACAATGAAGTTCACTGGATTGACCATTTCGCTCGCCCTGGCTGGTTTGGGCCACTCTGCTGCTCTTCCCGTTCTCGGAAACGTTGCGGATCCCGTTTCTGGCATCGCGAGCGCCGTTAGTGGTGTCACCGGCTCCGCTGCTGAAATTGTTACGCCCATCACCTCTACCGCTGGCGGCCTGACTGGCAACATAAAGCGAGACGATGCTGCTGCTCCAGGTGGGACTGTCGAGACTATTCCAAGCCTTGCCAATAGCGCTGTCGCCATTGTTGGTAGTGCTGTTAGTACCGGTGAAAGCTTCGTTTCTCGTGCCGGTGCAGCCACAAAACGTCAGCTCAACGACCTCGTTGGAAGCACTCTCGGAAGTGCCGTTCCCGCCATTATTCAAGACGCTAAAGCTGGCGGCCTGGCAAGTGCAACGAAGCGCGATGGAACTGCCGCACTTGGGGGGACTGTTGATGCCATTCCTGGCCTTGCCAGTAGCGGTGTCGCTATTGCTGGAAGTGCCGTTGGTGCTGGTGAGAGCCTTCTCTCTGGTGTCGCTGGTACCGCAGAGAACGCTGTTGGCCGTAATTAGTCATTTCGTCATACTTCCTGTTCCGTCATCTTCCCACATATGGGCCATCCTCCGGGATTTCTTATGATCTATCGAATTTTGTGTATAATACTTCCGAAGAATTCCTGTTACCTCTATAAACTGAACTGGTATTGAGAAACAGCCTTCCCAATTCATGGATTTTTTTTGGCTTCATATGTTCTCCAATTCTTAAAAAATACCCGTTGTGCCTTGTATTGGTTAATTTTCAGTTTTGTTCGTGTTGTGGTCAATTTAGCTCGTTTTTGAACAACTTCCCCTTGAAAATGGAAAGCGCCAGGAGATGGTGCTGACGCACTATATAGGCACCGATCTGTCTGGGTGTAATTTAGTTTTTTGGCTTGGCTTTGAACGTCCAAAGAAAGAAGAAAAAAACTACCTAGAGCGAGTCTCCAAGGCCGAGGAATCGCACATTCAAATTCTTGTGCAGTATTGAAGTTGCATGACTTGTAGTAAATTCTCGTCCATTGCCTTGTTCATTGTCCGTTGACAAAGTTGACGTGATTACCAACCAGATCGGTACCAAATGGCATGATCTCAAGCGCCATCTGTTGCTTTTTAGTGGTCGATTTTGTGAATTTTTTTTCTTCTATTTTTGCGTGTCTAGGCACTTTTGAATGAAAAGGGATATACCTCCGGAGATTAAGTGGGACTGTCGTGAATATTGTGCTCCTCAAAATACATGCGACATATGTTTCGATCCTATTAAGGTCTACCCATCTACGTGCATAGACACGGAAACTATTCTAAATCTGACAATCTTTTGGACCAAAAAAATATATCACAAATTGAACTTCATTACCACTGCATCGACCTGGGATTTGAAGTTGACAAAACCCTGCTCAGTGTGGTATAGCCTCGTGACCCAATGAAAAGCCCTTAATAGTGGATCCCCCAAGTTTCCAGGGCTAGAAGATATCGATCACCGTCAGCAATGATTTGGAATAACCTTAGTTGTGCACTGCATTAGGTATGTACTCCGTACCCACCCAGGTAGGTATGTTGTACATTTATTAAGCACCAATCAAAGAAATAGCCAAACATAAGCCAATCATCAATCGGCTCGGACGATTTCCAATCCCGTCGGTTCTTCTGGATACCCCGTGGCCAGCCCATGGCCAATTGGTAAGAAAGTAAACCAACCGAGGTTGATTCGGAGTATCAAAAGCATACAAGAACCAGGTCATGTTCTCTTGTTCGCAAAATTTCCCACTATCACATTCTGCCAAGTCTTTCCGGTTAAATATCCGACCATCGACGTCATACTTCTCCCCGCGAGCACCTCAGAGACACTTTCCTATTTTCATTCACACACGTCAGATACCAACCATGTCGTCTGCTACATCTTTCTTCGACTTTGAGCCTGTTGATAGTATGTATAATACCGGTGTACCTATTTGTCTTCACCCGACGTCATAACCCAAGTATAGGCTCTGATCCAGTAATCGCTAACCAAACCCCGCCTCCGGACAGAAAAGGGCGCACCCTTCCCCCTCTCATCGCTGAGCGGTAAGGTCGTGCTTGTCGTGAACACGGCCTCGAAATGCGGCTTCACGCCTCAGTTTGAAGGCCTGGAGAAGCTTTACCAGAATTTGAAGACCCAGTACCCTGAAGACTTCACCGTCATCGGGTTCCCGTGCAACCAGTTCGGCAGCCAGGACCCTGGCTCGGACGATGAGATCCAGTCTTTCTGTCAGCTCAACTACGGCGTCACATTCCCCGTTCTCGGAAAACTGGATGTGAATGGCGCAAACGCTGCACCTGTGTGGACTTTCCTGAAGGAGCAGCAGCCTGGAATCATGGGATTGAAGCGCGTTAAGTGGAATTTTGAGAAGTTCCTCGTCTCCGCCAATGGCAAGGTTGTCAACCGGTGGGCTTCCCTTACCAAGCCCGAGGCTCTTCAGGACACAATTGTTCAGGAGATCGAGAAGGCGAAGAAGGAGGGCACTCTTGCCTCGCTGAAGAAGAGTGAGGCTGGTGCTGAGCAAGCTTAGCTGTCATAAGCCTGTGCTTGACGTTTTCCTATCTGAATGATTGTGGTTTTATCTTCATCTGTTTTCTTGTATCTATATCCCATTTCTTCTGTTCATGACGTAACTTCTTTTCGGTTTACGATTTCAGTCTACGATAGAAACCATACCGAGCGGTAATAATGATTCATATCCCAATGTCAAGTCTCATTGTTCCCAATTTTGCAAAAGTCGCTAGATCAGTTTCCTGGACTTGTATCCATCTCCCCCCCCCCTAGCATGACGTCCGACCCGGTGTGTGCGAGAGTCCCAAATGCCATGATTCAAGCAGAGGAACCAGCCTTGGGAACCAGGTTCCGTAGCGACAGATCGTAGACCACATCCTCAACCTTCTTGACCTGCAGTGTCACAGAAGTTAGTTTTTTTAAAATCGTGAGATAAACGTTGCTATGATTTCAACGTACACTGTATTTGATACCGTCGCTGCGCTTGCGCAGGATATCGTTCTTCAAATTCAAGAGCTGGAATCCAGCGAACACCTCCTTAACGAAGTTTCCAATCTGCATTGGACGGGTGTAATCACCCAGGGTGACAGAGTTGACAGCCAAGCGAGCCTGGGCACACATTAGCTATGGCCAGACGGAAACGCCCATGGATTTCAGAAAACGAACCAGTTCCTCAACCATGGTAATCACTGCTAGCAGGTACTCCTCAATTGTCAAGTGGAAAGCATCCTGCTCCTTTAGGTTAAAAGGAACTAAGGAAAGAGATACAAATTAGCACTGGAAATTATTGTATGCATATAGCACCCCTGGTGCTCATCGTAGACAGGGATGTGCAAGACGTACTGTCCAGGAACTTGCCCACATCCTCAATGGTCATGAAAGATGTTGAGCTGGGTCCCTTGTGCTCTTGTAGCCCTCCCAGCCATGCGCATAGCTCAATAGAGGCGACCTAGTAGAATGGATCAGTAGAAGGCCCCGGGCATTGAATTGTAGCAAACAAACCAGGTTTTGTAGCTCACGGGTCCACAGTCCATTGTACTTGTAGAAGGGGTGTTGGTCTGCCACGGCCTTCAGGCGAGCAACCTCTTCCTTCTGGGCAAGGATTTCTTTGGTGACATCATCAAGCACGGGCTTCACTATTGTAGAAGTCAGTGAAATGGTTCATGAAGAATAGAATTTTAGTGTATGGCTGGAGGAAAAGTGTAGCAACTTGTCCGCTATACGGCGAGGAACAAAGAGAGAAGAGGAGTGATCAAGCAGTGAGCCCAAAGGTCGAGTGGATTTACACCCCGGTTCTCTCAGCAGAGCACTCGAGATAGATAATAGATACTTACACTGACCAGCGGGCGTGGAATGAGCCCGCGACAGGATAGCCTGTGTGGAACGTCCTGTATCATTCAAACTCAGTCTTGTTCGGCCTGCGACTTCAACTTAGTGCCGTCCCCGGCAGGGTAGACACCTTGGAAGTTCTGTTCGAAGTCGCGAATTGCAGAGCATACCTCTTCTGGCGAGTGTTTGAACAATCTCATGTAGCTCCTATCCAAATTTGTTAGCTACCTGTCGGTGTTCCCGGCTCAAGGGTCTTGCTCCGGTGGAGGCTTGGCGTGCGAAGAATTCACCAAGCTCAGGACGCGTTGGTATGACTTACATCCCGAACGGTGGTCTCCTCGTCAATCTTCGTCTGGAGATTTTCGAAAATACGTTGGTCAATCATGTTGTTGCTTGGTTGTGGATTTAGAATTTTGAGAGATTTGAGGGCAGATCTGGGAGGTGTTGGGTTGGGAATGCGTCACGTTAAAACTCCATGTTTGAAAAAGAGGATAGCTTGCGCAATACGCCACAATTTTTTGCTTGAATCGAAACCAATACTATGAGTTTAAAAATCGCTTTCTGAAATACGTTTTGCTTCCTGAAAATGTGATTTCCATCAGATGAAGGCCATATGAGGCGCTATCTTACAATTCTGGCCTACATCCATCACTTAGGGGACGATTGACAAAGCTTTAACCAATTCTTAGCTGCTAATTAAGAGATTTGGATTTTTTAAAAGGGGCTTATATGTGACTTGTGTTCACCCCGAATCAAAAAGTTTGCAAAGACGACTCCTCCGTAGAATTTTTTTTTAAAAAACGCCAGAACCATGACCATAATTGAAGATTTTAATGTTGCCAGATCAAGTCTAGCGATCGTCGTAAATTTCGTAAGGAAGCTATACACACAATGGCCGGCGCCAGGGTGATCACGCAGCGAGGGAGCAAACGCTTAGTATCGGTATCTGGTCGAGTAATCTGCAGGAACCAGCTGTTAGCGAACGGTATTCTAGTCCAAAATACGGATTGAAAGTACCTTTAGGGCTGACCACCAGACCACGGCCTTTCTTGGCACCCTTGTATATTGTCTCGATGATGTCGATCAACTCCTGCTTGTCTTCCAGCACCCAGTTCAACTTGTTGTTGTTTCCCGTGCCGAAATCGCACATCATATGCTTGTTGCGGTAGAAGAACATGATCGTCATCCGATCGTAAAGCTCGTACATCTGGTTGAAGTCTGGGACCTGGTCAAGGTCACATAGGTAGATGACAGCGAAGTCTGGGGTAGGCCTGTTAGCTGCTGTTAAGTTTGCTTTATGGGGATCTCGGTCACTCACTCTTCACCCTCTCGGCGATCTTGTAGAGAAGCTCATCTTGGCGGATACCTGGGAGAATGGGTTAATCTAGGACCCTGGCAACGGATGCGAGTGACACTCACAGTCAGGATCGTGGTCTCGACCGAATCGGATCACCACCAGGCGTTCTTCTTCAGACAGGATAGCCTGGTCCACATGCCAGGCTGTTTGCAAATGAGGGAGGACGATTGAACCCATCGCGAGGGCTGGTTTTGTGTCGACGGATTGGAGATGCCAAGTGGGAAAAAAAACAGAATGCTTATCGATTGGGCCTCCGCGATTGAAGCTGTTGCGTCATGTGACCGCATGACAATGGGCCGTGATTGCAAGACTCCATACAACATATGTATATTAGTCTGTGGTAGAATGTTGTTTTTACTGCTTTGTCTGTTTCACAGTGCATCATTTTAGAAAAATCACGGTAATGGTTCAATTCTCAAGTTTTGAACAACCTCATTTGGGTGTCAAGAAGTGGATCGGAAGATGCGATCTTTAATCTGCGACATAAATGACAGCTAGAAGATTGGTAATGGCGACTATTTGTCGAAGCTACTTGGTCTTTGTTCTTTGATCTTTGTTCTAAACTGGATGTACGTTAATTTTAGCATCATAGAGGGTGACCATCCCGATAGCCCCAAGCACACGGTATGACGCGATCTGTAGTAAGCATGTCCAGCTAGAACACGAAGTTCGTCTACAAGGATCATCTGTGCGAACACATGTTAGCACTACAGGAGGAAATGACTCTAGGACGTTACGGTTCCTAGTTTTGTAGCTCCCAAGTTCTTCTCCAAGCGCCCGAGCAAGCCGAACAGTTGATGAAAAAGGAGTTCGCGTCGATCGGGGGTAGTGTAAGCCCAATGACACTGTGCAACAAGGCATGCGCAAGCACAGGGGCCAAGTCGCGGGATCCAAAAATAGGAATAATCAAAGTGTTTCCTGGACGGAAACTTTCAGAGATTAAACTGAAAAGAACAGATACTACACTTGATCTAAGCCAATAGGCAAAGAGAGCTGAAAAGAAAAAAAAAGAAGAGGAAAGCTGTGGGTGGAGCGACCAATTTATACCTCGAGAGAAGTGGGTCTCTTTCGCTAGCGGGATTAAGCGAGCCAATTGAAGTTTGCTTTGTTTGGAGCGGAGTTACCTATTTGGGCAAGCCTATTTCAGCATAAGCGATGTGATGACTCATCAAAGTTTGCCCTACACTATGTCCCAAAAAAGCCTAGTGGGACACACCTCTGGCCGTGAATTTTTGATAACCAAGTCGGCTCCACCGTGAAATTTTGGAAGTTGTCTTGACCACTCTCTCGCCGGCGCAGGATATTCACCTCTTTGCGACCTTTCCCAAATCCCCCAAAAACAACTTCCCCCCAATCCATTAACAATGGCTCCCGCTGCTGTACGTTGAAGTCCAAATCGCTTTGCTGTTCCCCCCACCGGATTCTATGCGGGCTCGTCTTTGACAAGACTGCGAAACTCGGTATTGAAAAATCTATTGAGTCTCCAATGTTGTCGAAGGCGAATCTGCGAGAATATCACCGGGGCTCGACATTATGGAGCAGTAGGCTAATTTGATTCCATGTGGTATAGGCTCGTGGTCGCAAGGCCCAGAAGGTTACCCAGAAGTTCATTATCAACGCTTCGCAGCCCGCTAGCGACAAGATCTTCGATGTCTCTGCCTTTGAGAAGTTCCTCCACGACCGCATCAAGGTCGAGGGCCGTGTCGGCAACCTTGGTGAGAACGTTGTGATCTCCCAGGTTGGCGATGGCAAGATCGAGGTTGTTGCCCACATCCCCTTCTCCGGCCGCTACCTGAAGTACCTGTGAGTTTATAAACTTCCCCGGATAACTATTGATATCTTGGACCAGAGTCTTGCTGACTATAGCCTTTCCTTCAACTCAGCACCAAGAAGTACCTCAAGAAGCAGCAGCTCCGTGACTGGCTCCGTGTCGTCTCCACCTCCAAGGGTGTCTACGAGCTCCGCTTCTACAACGTCGTCAACGACGAGGCTGAGGAGGATGAGGAATAAGCGTGTCGCTCCTGACATGTCTTGTTTTTTTGTCTCGTTGATCGATCGGTTCTAGTCTGTGTGTGTCGCGCTTGGGACGTCTGTATGGATTGTCAGCGAGAGCCATGGGGGGATAAGATTGGTCTGCGAGGCCACAAATGAAACTAAAAAAGTTTATACCCTCATCATTGCCCTGATACAATGCGTAAATATACTGTAAAATGACTTTGTGAAGACTTTCATGGGTATCTCACACAATACACAAAAACAGCCAAAAAAACCGCGAGCTGGTTAAAAGATGGTACTTATCCATGATTATCTGCAGGACTTTCTTTTCTGGACAGTCGTCCATGAAGATGTGAATGTTGATACTTCGCCATCCTGACGGACTAACTTGCCACCTTCAATTCTCTGTCCCTTCTTCTGCAACTCTTTCCATTTCTCGCCCACTTTCACTCTCACAAGATCACCGGTCGCAACTGAATCCTCCTTTGAATCGTGCCCATTGTCCCCGACCTGAATGTCGCGGCCAAGGTGCCTTTGAACAAGAGCCTTGAGACTTAGACGAATGGGTAGGCCTCTGGGGTGGGGGTACAGGAGAACAGTGTCAATGACCGTGGGGTGGATTATACGGCAAGCATTGAGGTCGTTGTCAATTGCATGGCCGATAAGAGGTGTCTCAGGCTGGAGGAGCTTCAGAAGTAGCTCGCGCGCCTCCGCAGGTGACTGAACAAGCTGCAAGGGTGGGCTGGTTTTCGTTTTCTCATCTGCTGACGGTAAACTTGTCTTGGGAATTGGAGTCCCATATGGGCTGGCAGAAGCATAGTGTTGTGGTGTGACACCGGAAAAGCGTGTGTTGAGATCTAATACCTCGCCCATAGGCCGGACCAGCACATCAAGGAGATCAGAGCCTTTAGGCCAGCTGACCGCAGTGAGACGGATCAGTTCGAGGCCTAACGTCGTGTAGCCCATCTCGCAGTCAATCGAGACAGGTTCAAGGTGTCCTTTTCCTGGCTGAGATGGGGTTTTCTGGAACTGGAGGATGGATGCAAGTCGCTTAGTCTCCGAGACCTTGTACACGTGTGTCTCGGCTCTGGTGCAGCCGGTAGACGTTCCCAGTGCTTCGCTGCAGCAGGGAAAGTATGGCTGGGAGGGGCCAGTGACATGGTCTGTTTTCTTACGCTGGGGGTAAACAGGTCGACCTGGATGATAGTTACAGTAGCCACCGCTGGCCAGGGTACCATCCTCGCGACGACCTGGAAACACCTGAAATCGTTGACCGCATCTATCACACTTCTCCCAGCCCTTGGACTCACTAACGCCTCTCTTGGCGGCTTCTATGTCTGCATTTGTGGGCTGTTTTGTGACATATCCATGTTCTTCGAGGCCAGCGAGAGGTGTGACTAGCTGGGATACAACTGCGATTTCTTCTGCGGGGGTAAGGCCTGTGTTGATAGGCCTGGGGGTCACCGGCGGCTTTTGAACGGGATTTATCTTATAGTACCGCGCATTCAGATGGGACATTACCTCCTTGGCCCACTCGTCAACGCCCATCTTTGTAACTCTCACGATTCGAAGTTTGATAACATTGCCGTAAACGCTTGGACTGTCCCTCGCGAATTTCTCTTCCTCGTCGAGAGCCATCGTGATGAGTTCGTCCGGGGTTAGGACAAAACATCGATTCGAACTATTCTTGTCCTTTCGTAGCTTTTCGTTGAGAGCAGTCATAGCTGAGTGCAGCTTCTGGAGGATGGCAGTCCGACTGCCATGAGTGGCTGGTGCATGGGCAAGCATGCGAGGGTTCAAAGTTTCTTTTGGGACTTTGCGAGGAGGAAGTTGTGATGAAGACCCAGCGGCCGCGGTATTAGTGCGTTTCGCAGGCTCGTTCCCTGAATGGTTTGGTGGGCTATTGCTTGAGGTAGGCAGGGCAATTTCCTGAGGTCTTGAGGCATCTTTTGGGTTTTGATTTTGCTTGAGGGCAACTGATCTTGATGAGTGCCGTGCCATCTCGACCGATGGTTCTTTCAAGCCGTCAGATGGAATGGGAGACCCCGGCAACAGTGTGTTGTCCTTTTTGGCCCGTTTGGGAGGAGGTCCATCGTCACCCGACGTTGTAATTATCGAAGGCCGAGCCTCAGGGGGGTTCGATTTATTATCATGAGAGAAGATGCATTTCAAAAGAGTGCAATCGTTGCCTTGCGGGCATAAAATTGCCCTAAAAAGTCCGAGCGGCGTGAACATGATGAGTGATGACCAGATAATAAGACAGGGTTCGATGATAAGTATCTAGGTCTCAAATGCAAGAGGGATTAAAGGCTGTCATAAGTTTAAGAAATACATGACGAATATGTATAGCTATTGCTGCCCATCGACCCTTTTGTGTGTGTTTTGTGCACTATCGCACCATTCAATGCTTGCTTGTGGCAAAGCCAATTGAAAGCGAGCTAAAGTGCGTATTTCGAAGAAATGGACTCAAGCTGGAGGTAGAAAGCAGATTTGAAGGGTTTAAAAGATCAGATTGACATCATTAGAGGACAACATTGGACCTGCCCAGGTGTTGACAAGTCAATGATGCAAAGAAGACAAACAGAGTGCCTGATATTGCAGGCAGAACATCATGACATCCATCTGTTCATCGGATATTTCATTTCCTGGTGATTTGAAGTGTTGCTCGATGCTCGAGAGACCGTATTGATACTCATTTTGATTGAAGGCGCGCTGATACCTTGCAACAATGAATACATACAGATCTTTATGAAATCTATAGACGCTTCGAGAATTCGGCCGGCATGGAGGTCTCTTATCGCCGATAGCTCCAGGCTGACGCAGATGGGCGGCTTTCGGGTGGATAGACACCCCGATTGGTAAATACTAGGCTCCTTTTCTTTCCCCTGGAATCAATTTCATTCTCAGAGATGGAATCAACAAGCGAAACGATGCCAGATACCTCCAAAGCTGATCACCTCTGTGTTTTGGTTCATGGGTACGCTGCTTTCCCATTCTCAATGACGTATTGACAAGCCCGCTAATGCGATAGATCTTCCCAATAGACTTTGGGGAAACCCTTCGCACCTTAATTATATCGCATCTGCTCTGAAAGACAGATATAGCGATGACAACCTCTACATCCTCTGCCCGAAAACTAATAGCGGCAACTACACCTACGACGGAATCGAGTTGGGCGGAGAACGAATAGTGCATGAGATCGAGGAGACGCTTGAATCCCTAGCCGAAAAGGGACAGAAGATCACCAAAATCAGTGTGATTGGATACTCACTTGGTGGCCTGCTCGCGCGCTATGCGATCGGCTTGCTCAATGCACGGGGTTGGCTGGATAGGCTGGAACCCATGAACTTCACGACCTTTGCCACACCACATGTTGGGGTGAGAGCCCCACTGAAAGGGTACAAAGATCAGATTTTCAATGTTCTAGGCCCCAGGACGATCTCGGCATCTGGCCGCCAAATGTGGCTGATCGATTCCTTCCGAGATACTGGACGGCCGCTTCTCGGTGTTTTGGCTGATCCGGAGAGCATCTTCATAGCTGGACTGAAGAAGTTCCGGCAGCGGAGTGTCTATGCGAATATCGTCAATGATCGCTCAGTTGCCTTCTATACATCTGGTCTCTCCAAAGTGGACCCATTCCGGGATCTGGAAGACGTGAAAATTAACTACGTCAAGGGTTATGAAGATGTTATTATCGACCCCGACCTTCATGTGCTTCCTCCGGCGGAAAGAAAAGCTGGAACCGTAGCAGGGCGATTCTGGAAGAAGGTCAAATCGGTGACCCGTTCGATACCTCTGTCACTCCTGCTCCTTGTTCTTGTACCTCTGGCTTCTGTACTCTTCTTGATAAACGCCGGGATCCAAACGTTTCGAAGCTCAAAGCGAATTCGTTTGCATGAAGTTGGCGAGAACGGCAAGCGCTTCGGGAGATATAGAGTACCGGTTTTGATCCAAGACGTTCAGCATGTTATGGAGCAGGCCTTTGAGAACGTCAATGCTATACAAGAACCAGCTTACTTGTCCAATAGCGATACTGAAGTGTCAGAGGTGGCGCCTGAAAAGTCCGCCAGATCATCTGTCTCGAAGTCTGCGCAAAACGATGCCGAATCCGAGTCTGTAGCAGCTAGACATTCATCAACAACGGAGGTTTCAACATATCCTAAGCTTGCATTGACTCACGAACAATTTGGAATTATCGATTCCCTCAACGCTGTGGGAATTCGGAAATATCCTGTCCATATACAGAAGCACCACCACAGCCACGCTGCTATCATCGTCCGGGTTGAGAAGGATGGGTTCCGAGAGGGCAAGATTGTGATGAAGCATTGGTTGGATAATGAATTCGCCTTGTGATTACTTGATTAATCAAGAAGCCTTTCTCGAGCGTTAGAGCATGTATTTATAGTCTCAACATCCCATGAACTCATTCCCAATAAATTTTTTGCGTGACCAAAAAGACAAGAGTCACAGCTAAGCTTCAATCCCCGGGGAAACATCATAAGATACCCGACTAATTCCCTTTTGCCGACTGATCTTGCGGATAACAACAGATCCAACCAAGCTCGTCCTCGCAACATGAGTACCACCACAGGGATTGTGGTCGAGCCCACCTATACTCGCAATCCGGGTACGACCCCCCTCGGCACCCTCCCCATCCTCATCCTGCGCGACACCCTCCAGCCAGGAAATGAGAATAGGTAGATCCAGCCGTACAAGCTCATCTACCTTCTCCTGTATAACTGGCTTGTGCTCATTATACAACAATCCCTCATATTCCATAGAAGCCTCCCTCGGGAAATGATTTGCCTTGACCTTTTTCTTATCCGGCATCAAAAGCTGCATGGCCAACCCAACGATGTGACCAGCTGTATGGAGCCGGGAATGATAGATGCGTTTTGAGTCATGGACCTTCTGCACGACAGACTGGCCCGCGACGAAGGAAGAGTTGGCGTCTAGGAATTTTCCAAAATGCAGGAACCGTCCATCGGGCGTTTTGCGTACCAGCGAGACTTCAAATGTGGGATCTTGGCCTACTGGTCCAATTGCGCCGGTGTCGCTGGGCTGTCCACCGCCTTGTGCGTAAAAGATAGTCTGGCGCATGGTGATTGCGCTATCTTCCGCGGGGACGTTTTTGGCTAGGCTTTTTTCTTCCTCGGAGAGTGAAGGGATTGACTGAGAAGAGATAACCTCCGTAGTCAAAGTCCGCAGCGTGGCATCATCGAGGTACACTGCCTCTGTACTTTGGACCTGCATCGGCACATTAGTGATGACACATGCATATCGGGTTAAAGCCGGAGGGCTCATGCCATTATTGTTGCCTGGTGCTGCTTTTACGCTAATGAATATCTTGAATACGCTGTTCCCGGGAGAGAAGTTCTGCTTGTAGAGGACTTTCCCGTCTGGTGGGTCATGTCAACCACAGGGTGGAGTGCCTCAATATTCAGGCCCCAAATATCATCGTGGATAACGTAATTCCCAAGCGAGCTGGCCACCCCAACCAAAACACGTCCATGAATTAGATCTTAGTTAGTTCAACCACCCACCATGCCACCAATTCGTACTCAATCCTCTCGAAATTCAATAGAGCAGGAGGGTAGGATCTTACTAGCTATCCAGGCTTTTAAGAATCAAGAAATCTCTTCAATTCGTGAAGTGGCGCGCCGTTTTAACGTCCCAAGATCCACCCTTTCAACCCGCCTGAATGGTATACAACACCGCGCGATTTCTCGCGCCAACTCTCATAAATTGACCGATCCTGAAGAGGAATCTCTTCAGAAATGGATATTCTCTATGGACGCTCGTGGTTCAGCTCCACGACCTTCAATGGTGCAAGAAATGGCGAATGTTCTACTTTCGCATCGCGGAATCAACCCATCATCTACAGTCGGCAAAAATTGGGTCACTAATTACATTAAACGACATCCCAATCTATCCTCGAGATTCTACAGACGTTACAATTACGAACGTGCTAAATGTGAAGATCCAAAAATCATTGGTGAATGGTTTACACTTGTTCAAAAAACGATTCTTCAATACGGCATTGACAACGATGACATTTATAATTTCGATGAGACTGGTTTTGCAATGGGATTAACCGCAGCTGCTAAAGTCATTAT